AAAAGGGGAAAAAAAGGAAAGAAAAAAAAGACAAGGACTTGTATCACATAAAATAGATTTCCAGCTTAAAAGTGTAACCAGTCACAGGAATGGACTTCATATGATTATGGGATCAGTCATCAAGAAGGCGAAAATATATCAATATAAGCACAACAAATGAAGGAGCATCAAAATAAGGAAAACAACTATAACCAAAACTTTAAAAAGCATCTACAACAACACAATAGTGGTAGGGGACTTCAACACCCCACTTTCATCAATGAAGTGATCAACCAGACAGAAACCCAAGAAGAAATAACAACCCTAAATGAGGAACTGAACCAGGCAGGCTTAAAAGATTCCATCCCAAACAGCTGAGTATACATTTTCTTAAGCATATATGAAACTTCCTCAAGGATAGATTACATATTGCCTCACAAAACAAGTGTCAATAAATTCAAGAAGACTGAATTGAAATTTGTATGGCACCACAAAAGACACTGAATAGCCAAAGCAATTCTGAGAAAAAGAATAGATGTATTATGCTACCACTCTTTGAATTAAACAAAGCAACTGTAATCAATATTTGTATTAGAATTAAAATTAGAATAGACACAAAGATCAATGGAATAGAACTGAGAGCCCAGAAATGAACCACACTTACAACTGTTAATTATGACAACGGTACCAAAAACATAAAATGGAGACTGGAAAGTTCATTGAACAAATGATGTTGGGAAACTTGGGCAGTCTACATGCAAAAGAATGACATTAGACCGCTATTTCACACCATACACTAAAATTAATTCAAATTGGCTACTAAATTTGGATTTAAGACCAGAAACCAAAATACATAGGGAAAACACTTTCCAACACTGGCTTCAAAGACATCTTTTGTAGTCAAGGAAAACTTGACTACAACAGCAAGGGAAAGAAAACCAAAAATAAACAAATGGGACTACATCAAATCAAAAAGTTACAGCAAAAAAAACTCATAAAAACAAGACACCCTACTAAATAGAATATTTTTCCGTATCATACATCTAAGAAGGGATTAATACCCAAAATCTACAAAGAAATAAAACTCAACAAAAAGAAAACAAAAAACACAATAAAAAAAATTGACACAATGAAAACAAAACTTGCAAGCTGACCATACATCACAGGCACACAGCAGGGGAGAAGAATGGGGAGGGGTCAAAACAAACAAAAATAAGTAAATAAAATCAACACAAGAACTAAAGAGACATATCTCTAAAGAAGACTTTAGACTAAGTAGATCTAAAAAATAGATCTACTTAGTGATGTAGCAATCTGTATCCTAGGTATCCACCTAAAAACACAAAAACCACTAATAGGAAGAGATATATGCAAGCCTATGTTCAGTGCAGCACTACTTACAACAGTCAAGTTATGGACATAACCCAAGTGCCCAAAAATACATGACTGGGTTAAGAAGGTACGTATACAAACACAATGGAATATTAGCTATAAAGGAAAAATGAAATCTTGCTATTTGTGACAACATGGATATAAGTGAAGGTGATTATGCTAAGTAAAGTCAGGAGGAGAAAGACAATTATTGGATGATTTTATTCACATGTAGACCAGAACAAACACTTAAAATCTGATTACACAACTAAGACTTGGGAGGACTGGAGGTTGCAAAGGCAGGGGTGTGGTGAGGCAGCTCTAGGAACAAAGAGGAGGTTCAATGCACTATGATGGAGGATTATTGGTATTTTGGTGGTGGGCACAGTGTCATAACATCTTTTGTGGAGGTGTGAACCTAAATGCCTAAAGTATACACAGTGTTGTAAATCAAGATAACGTCAGTAAACATAATGTTAAAGTATAAAATAGTCTCTAGAATATAGCAACCCTTCACAGTCCACTTTCTTCCCTGAAAAAGAAATTCTGCCCATAGATAGTGATTCAGTCCTGCCCCAGAGTTGCATCCTGCACTTCCTAATGACTTGCCCTATAGATCTGTCAGGTGAGCCTTACAATCATGTAAATTACCTCTTTTTCAAGACCTCTCTTAACATGTATCTATGTTTCTGGGTAAACCTGACCAATACAGGTTTTAATGCTTGGAAGTGGGGTGCAGCTGCAAAAAATAACTAAAAATGTGCATTAGCTTTAGAATTAGGCAATGTACATGAAGGATTTTGAGAAGCTTAATAGAAAAGGCGTAGACTGCCTTCAACACAACTAACTGCCTTGAAGGCTATTAGCTAAAATTAGCTGAGATATGGCTGTTAAAAATTGCATATAAGGACTCAGAAGGAAATCAGGGGCACAGCAGAGAAAATTGTGCCCACACTCCTCAGATACCCCAAAGCAAGCATTTCTAAGGGTGGCAGAGATAACGCCAGGTTATTTAAGGAATCACTTCAGTACATTCTTTTATATTTTCTTTGGAGAAGTGCCTTAATTCTCCTGCCCATTCCTGATTAAGTTGTTTTCTTTTTGCTAAAATGTCTCCAGAAAGAAAAAGAAAAATACCGGATGGTCTCACTCATAGCAGGAATCTAGAAAACTTAAATAAGAGACCAGGAAAAAGAATAACTATAAGAAAAAAAAATATCAAAATCAACAAACAACTGAACCAGAGACACTCTATGGGGGGTGGGGGCGGGGGAAGGAAGGATTGGGGTCAAAATAAGGGGGTTGTAATTGTATGGGGAATATAAAAATAAAATTTAAATAAATAAATAAATAAATAAAGCAGTGAAATACAAAAAAAAAGTCTCCGCACACACCCTCACCCCATTAGTATACTATTTGTTGTTTCTGTCACTCAAACTTTTATCTAGCAAAACCATTCTGTAAAAGCACTGCTTTAAGCACAGTTGTACTTCAATGTGGTGGTACATGAGATCACTGAACTAGGGATTAAATGTCCCCAAATATAAAAAAACAGTATCTAAAACTCACCAATTCATAAACTGCGTCTGCACTCAGACGCAGAAAAATAATACCACATGAAATTTCATGTTGACTTTTTTTATGAGACAAAGACTACAATTTTACTGCTATGCTTTGCTCTTCATATATATCTGAACACAGCAATATGCAATCTGGTTTAGTTCATGCTTTTACACATATTTTTACAGTAAGCCTAAAGAAATGCAGTGTAATGTAAGTTAGTCACAAGCTCAGAACAAAGGTCACAAGACAGAAAGTAAATATGACCTATTTTCACAAATAAAATAACTCAGTGCTTTCCAATGAATTTTTGCAATTCAGAAGTTTTTAACCATTTTAAATCATACCTCACCATAATACGTAGTTACATCACAATCCATTACACAGTTATATTCATTTATATATATATGTAACTCAAAGTTTCACCAAACAATATTTAGTGATACACTATTTTCTAGTCTGATCAAAGTTTTAAATGATGATCATAACGCATTAAAGCGATTTTCTCTGCTAATAAAGCACAACACCCATATTTTGAAACAGAGCATTTAGAAAGTAGTGTTTCCACCAATAAAAGTTTATTCACCATATCATAACTATAAATACCATGTCATGAAATTCTATTGCTTTCCATTAGGTCTCAATCTTAGCCTTAACAATATTTAGCCTTAACAATACATAGCCTTAATCTATACAGAATCAAAATAAATCACTTCAACTGCCCCTTCCAGAACATTAAAAAGCTTAAAGATTTTCAAACACAAGGCCCTATTTCTAGGATGATCCTAGCACCTTTCTAAGTGCCCACCTAAAAAAAACAGTTATCAAGACTTTAGGGTTTCTTCTGGTCAACATTTGAATAATAGGCCCCTGATCATATCTCTTAGAACATTGACTAAAAAGAGTTTACAATTGTGAATCCTCCCTCTCTTTGAGATGTATATGTATCTCCAATTCAGGAGTCTTTCTCAAGGACAGGAAAGCCATTCCTTGACACTGCAATCCTCAGAAGGGTGTGATCCTGTACCTCTAAATCATGTACAATGCTACAAACTATTGTTCTTCAATTTAAAAAAAAAAAGAAGTGTTTTTTAAGAAAAGAAAATGTAATATCAGAAAGGATTGGGACTCAATTCTCAGTCTCTATAGGAGAATGTAATCCTACCTTGGATAACTGTCAGGTAACAGGCACAACTAGCCTAATCAAGTCCACTGACCAACCCTTTACTTCCCCTGACTCTACTGAGCAAAGGTTGCAGCTCCTCCCTACTCCCTCATCTTATCTTTGAAATGCTTCACCTGGGAAAAAAATCCAAGCAGAATTCAATTCATGCTGGACCCTCTTTCCAACTGCAGCAGTATATACTGAGAAATATATCAACTCAGGTGATATATATATATATATATATTTATATTTATATATTTATATTTATATATTCTCCCTACTTTAGTGTGCAGCTCTTTGACAAAATAAAGTAGACATGTTCTGATTATTAATGACTTAGTTATGTTACATATTATCACTAGCTATAAAGCTCCTTTAAAGAAATGATTTCAACTTTATGAAGGAGTCATAATTAAAGGAGTCAACAATCAGTGTTGGAAGGTTGAAAGGGTTCTTGACAAACATGAAGCTAAACATGTCTTATTACAAATGATGACTTAAGGTCCAAAGAGATTAACTGACTTATCCAAGATGATTTCAATAGGGGAAATGGAAAAGGACTAATTCAGCATGATTTGCTTCCTGACTCCAATATAAAAATATTCGCCTTGAATTCTCATTGATAAAAGCATCATTCACTATTAATCATTTAAGTCAAGATCAGAGATGAACATTAATCTACTACCGCAATTCTACGTACCTACAACTGTTAACCCAAGGAAAGAAAGCTTGGCGCAGTTACCAAGGCCATGTTTCAGCAGTCTGAAACAAGTACATGAAGCACCTTGGCAAGGAGAAACTGTTTTCACACACACAAGAAAACAAAACCCCATGCCATAAATCCAAAGGAAGGTCAAATATAGATAGTCTTAAAAACAACCAAAAGAAGAAAAATTAAATTTAAAAAATGTTTATCTGAACTTACCAGCAAAGCATTTGGAACAGAGGTTCATAGTCTTGCTGGACCTGGGGCAAAAAAAAAAAAAAAAAAAAAAAAAGAAAGAAGAGCTAAAAATTCAGTATCACTCTAATCAAAACATAAAGATAAATGTAGGTAAAGAATCTCCTGGCCAAATAACTGAACTAATAAATTAATAAGTCTTTAACCAGCCACCCTCCCCCACAAAACAAAAACACAATATTGTTTGTATATTCATTTGTTTATATGTGAGTTAGTAGATGTTTTACTTTCTATGATTAACAGCTTGTGTGGCACCAAGTTCAGAAACACTATAATATGACCAAAATATAAGAGAGAAGTGTTATTTATTCCACACAATTACCACATTCCCTCTATTCACACTGGAAGATAAACCTCAAAGTCATCACTGAATCAACAAAAACTTGTGTCTCTAAAGGAATAAAAATTTCTCCTCATATATACATTTATCTCTGTAACATTTTTTGAACTTTTATCTCATCTTCTTTTCCTTCACTCTAGTTCTATTTCAGATCCCGGTGACATTATGACCTTGTTTAAATTCTTTCTTCAGATGTTCCCAATCAAATTATTTTTCATGTCTTTTCATCTGTTAATAATAGCTACAATTCACTGAATACTAACTTGGATGGGCACTTAACATACATTATCTTATTAATCTTCCCAACATGCCTAGATGGGTATTACCATACTGCTTTGCTTCTGAAATGTACTTTTTAAAAAATCACATTAACATTTCTACAACCAAGAAACATCACACAATTAGCTATAACTGATGAATAATTTGATGAGAAAATGTTCCCACCACCTGCCCAACATATTATTAAATTGAGGGGTCTTAGACAAGGACATACAGTCTAGTCTCATCCCACTTGATAGGTGAGCAGCTTGACTGAGGTCAAACGGCTGGGTAAACTGCAGAGGAATTATCTGATACCTCAGGTCTGAGCTAACTCCATTCATCCTGCCATCCTTTATTCACAACACAGAACCTGGCACAACACAGCAGTCCGGGCACAGCATGGTGGCAATCAATTCTTTGTTAATTTCTACTCATTGCTGCTTTCTTTCCCAAGTCTCTCTCACGTGGACTAATTCCTACGGGTTTCTTTCATAAACCTAGAAAACTTAATGTTGGGCAAGTTGACTTTTTTATAGCCTCAATTCCTCAAAAGCTCCCCTCCCAATAATTGAGTCTGCCCAGAGCTGCCCCTACACATGGAATAAGGCAAGTATCTTCTTTCCTCACTAAATTTTACAGTTAATGAAACCTCCCTCAGGAAGTTTTCCCCATGACTATAACTGTTTTCCACTGTACTGGGACCCATGATCTACTGGCTAGTAATTGCCATGAGATGACAGAATTGCCATGGGGTGGAAGGGGAATCATTACATCTCTTTCCCAAAAGAGACACTGTATTAACAGGTGGATCATTCTTTAGGACTCTGCTTAATATAGGCATCACCAGATAGTAAGGAAATTTAAATATCAGTAACTGAGTAAAAATAAATACATTAATAGTTGCATGTAACTCCCAGATACTGCCAAATAACTTTCCAGGTAAATTCTACCAATTAACACTCTCATCAAAAGTATCTAAAAGTACTTTTTTCAATATACCCTCACCAATATTAAGTATTATTACTCTCAAATCTTTTGAAATTTGGGATAAACCATTATTTTGTTTTAGTTGTGTTTTCTTCTGAAATAAATTTTTCAATTTTGAAGGATATTAATCTTTTAATGAAGGATAAATTAAGCTTCCAGCTAAACAGTTTTGGGAAATTAATAATATTCTTAATATCTGAGAACTCTAGAAACAATTATAATATTCTCGTGACATCCATATACCTCTCGTATCTCTCACCATCCACATAAACAATACACATACCAGGTTCCCCCTCCAAAATATTTTAATATAAATATGCAAATAGAAGCCATGTCACCTCACAATGTTCATCAACAAAGACACTTTTTTTGTCCAAAAGTGTGAAGAAACTGAAGCACAAAAAAATAAAAGGGAAAAACAACAAATGTGCCAAATCTTCCAGTCTTGTGGTCCCTAAATTTCTCCAGGTTAGGCATGATCATAAAACTAAAAAAATCTAAAACGGCAAAGAGATTTCCTTCTTAATGAAGGAACCAACCTGTAAAATCAACTAGTCACATTTCCTAATTCAATCTCCTTTAATAATACAAAGGAAAGAGCAGAAGAGAGATTGGGAGAGGGGTAGTAAATATAGGAAGAGAAGTAAAAAATCAAACCACAATTCCTCCTCCATCTAAAATTCATTCCAGTTGCCACAGAGGTAAAATTAGATGATTAAAGACTAGTACCAATCTGCATGGAATCTCCTACACTTATAGTGAGAAAGCTTAGCTTCCTTCACAGCTAAGCAGCCGCAACATCTCCACTAAATCTTCACTCACCCCAGGCAAACAAGACAAAGGCCAGTTCTAGCAGATGAAATCTGCTAGTAATGACAAACGCGGCTTTCAACTGTGCATCCAGTTTGTCTGCACTATTATGTATCACTCTAAATCATTCAGATGATGCCTGCAAAGCTTTCTTTTTCAGGGAACATTACAAAGGAAAAGACGGGAGTCTTTAATAAGTGGAATTAGTTTCTAGAATGCAACCATATGAGTGGTGCTACTTTAAAAGCTAATTTCAATGTAATAATTTGATTCCAGGTGGGGTACTATAATGAGCAGTGCCTGAACATTAATACCCAAATTCAAAGACAGCAAGGACATAGCAAGTGCTCTGTACTAAAAAGATATATACATGTAAGACATGTACACAGCACTAAAAGCTCAGTCCAACCAACACTATCGAACAATTAAAACAAGATGAAGATTAAACATTTAAACATGTAAAAAGCTCTTTTAGAAAAGCAGGAGAAAACAAATACAATGAATTGAATAAAGACGACAAACAGATTTTTCACATAAAAGAACATTACAATGGTATTATCAGCTCTATCACACATTGTCTGCAGTGGCTATACTTCTCTTATTCTATATGCCCAAATACAAGAAAAAGTATTCTCTAAAAATATCCTTCAAAAAAAAACCAGAAATTGTTTACATTAAATACTTGTTTTTGAGGTAAACACCCAAAAAATTTTTTTTAAAAAACCCAATGTGGAAAAATCCCGGTATGTTGTCCTGTCTGGGAACATCTATCCAGTCACAGTCAATGAAAAGGGCACAACAGTGAAAGTTTCATCATTTTGCAAAAATGCTAAAGTCTGGAAGGATGTCGTCAACACTAGCCTTGGATGCTTTTTCAAAAAACACTGGTCTGGGATGCTTTTACTTCAAAAGGGAGTAAAATACAGCTGTAAACACAGCTTTATAGTTATTTCTGGAATGCGATCTCATGATTACTAGGGGTTGCTCCTGAAAAAGATCTCTGAAGAACATTTAGAAAATAATCCAATAAAAGCCTTGGAATGTCAGTAAGAATCACAAATAATGTTAAAATAGTGGCAACTCTCCTAATGTTACATGAATGATTTCTTGTGATGTTGATAAAATTTTCAGCAAGAGCAACATTTACAGATTTTTCAGCAAGAGCAACATTTACAGATTTTTAAAGTGGCCTATGCCAAACAAACAATGGCAGTCAATAACTTTAAATGTAGTTTTAGTAAATATTAAAGACACTGATGTCTGAAAATGTGGAGAGCTAAAATAAATCTGTTTCATTAGAATGGAAAACATTTTAAAATTTATACTTGGTATATGTAGTTATATAGCTGTATAGATTAATATATACATGTACAAATACATATAATTTTACAAAACCTGTGATCTTAAATATGCATATGTACAGTTATACCTTTGGGATAAAATGAGTAAAGAGCGCAAGAGATCTTCATGTATTTATTTTTTTTAACAACTGTATATAAATCTAAATTATCTCCAAAAAAATTAAAAGATTTTTATTTAATACATACCTGCAATATTTTAATGACACTTAATTATTTCATTCTCATCCCTAAAAATTTCTATGCCAATAATTTCTTTTTCTTAATGAGATCATGGATTATTCTTTATATATAGGGCTCTTCATCAACAAAGTTCAAAACCCATATTACAGACTACTGTTCAACAAAATTCACTTTTATGATAGAGAAAACAGCAGAAAAAGACTAAGTCCACTATTGCCCAGCTACCTAAAGACATTGAATACAAACATTAAATTGCTCACTTAAACTAGTCCTACCCATTTTATGAATAGGTTTTTAGAATTATACAGTAATGGAGAGCACTTTTTAGAGTGAAAAATTGCTCAATATCTTGATCTGGGTGATGATCACACAGGTATAGGCATTGTCAAAATTCATTACATTATACACTCATGACTGCAAGTTGTTATACATAAATTAGAGCTCAATAAATATTGGTACAAAAAAAATTTTTTAATTCTACACTACATTAGGTACTAACACTGGTCCATTACAAAAGGTATCCGTTATGTTGCTGTGCAAATACACAGATTTTCCAACCATTTTATTATTGGGGCAAAAGTCTGAGAATTAAACCAAATTTAAGATAAAAATTTAGGTATTCCCTGCCCTTATTTTTATTCTGCCTAGCTATGTTCTGCTACAAATGGGTGACAATGAGTGGATAGTTGGTCAGAGTATTTTTTTTCCTGAATAGTGATCAAAATAAGTAGCTACGAAACTTCCATAACAGGTTAAAAATTATACCAAAGAAACACTTCTTTCTTCCCATTTTTTTAAGATTTATTTATTTATATAAGAGCTGGGGTACAGGCCAGAGGCGCGGGAGGGTGAAAGGATTCACCAGAGACAGAATGGAGAGCAGACTAGGCAGACAGACTGAAAGCACTGATGATGGGAACAGCAGGCGAGACAGGAGAGGTCTGCGGCGCCATGTGGGTATCTCCCTGGCCAGCCAGGAATCGAACCAGCACTGCAGAGGTTGTGGACAGTTTCACAGTGCTGTGCTCAACCCACTGTGCCACCGGGGAGGCCGAAACGCTTCTTT